AGATGTTTCTGGAAGGATGTGGAAGACACTGTTGGCGAACCCCTTTCCGGAGGGGCTGGAGGCCCTGAGGTCCGGCGTGGAGGGCACATCTCAACGCTGTTTTGTACCGTCGGAATTTCTTGTACCGTGTTGGTGTTAACTTTTTAAATACAAAAACCAGCCAGACTTTCCCAACTGGGTAACAGCATTCCGAGACTCAAGTCTGGGATTTCTCTGGAAGCGGGGCCATAAACGCTGCCTTACGGTGGCCAGCCGGGGGCAGCCTGCGTCGCTCAGGGTGGACGTGGGCATCTGGACAAGCAGACCAGGGAAGGGAGAAGCTGAATCCTGAACCAGGGCACCAAGAGAAATAAACCCAATACCGGACTGTGAGGATTTCAGCCCGAGATGGTCAGATTTCCACTGAAGAACGTGAAAACCCAGCTCGTGGCACGGGGGGGGGGGGGGGGTTTATCTGGTGGAAACTTCTAGTTTTTTGTGTGTGTGTGTGAGAGGAAGCTTCCCTGGTGGGTTGGGAGGTACAGCTCCTAAGAGGCCATAGGACCTGAGGGAGAAGCACCTAGAAGAAGGGGTTCTGAGCCACGAGCAGGACCTCCAGACAGTCCTGGGTCTGGTCTTCACTTCTCCGAGGACAAGCCACCAAGCAGCCCACTGAGTGTTCACTTTGAGCTCATCCCTGCTCGGAGCCCAGAGCAGATGACTCACTGTCCCTCGTCGGCCACCGTGGAACGGACGGTGGGGAGGAGGGACCGGTCACCCGTCCCGGGGACACGTCGGCTCAGTGGCCCTGCCAGCGGGGGAGGCTGGGGCCTTTCCCTGAGGAGGCTCTCAGCCTAGGGGACGGGGGTAGACACTGCACAACCTGGGCCATGCGCGGGACCCCCGTGGGGTCGTGAGTCCCCGGCCACACGGCTGAGAGCGCCGTCCCGGTCAGGACCGCGTGCTCAGTGAACCTCGGGCCCAAACGTCCAGGCAGGTGCCAAGAAGAGAGAACAAGGGTCTTGGGCAGAACCTGTCAGAGGCAAAATGTTGAAGGGGCAGAGGTGTGAGAGGCCTTCCGGCAAATGGCGAAGACCGGGTGGGGGCGGCGGTGGGTGAGGGGCGCCGTGGGTCCCTTGGGGGAGGGCCCAGAGTAGCCCTGTTGGTCAGCGGCCCAACAGCACCCCCACCGCTTTCCTGCCAGAACCCCGACGTTGTGGTGGGTGGAGGAAACGTGGGCCCATTCCCCAGGCCCGGGAGAGGAGTCCCGACTGGTCTCCTGACGTCCTGACGACGCTCCGGTTGCCCTGGGTCCGCGACCCGCCTAACGGTGGCCTGTGGCCACGTCGTGGCCGGCAGCCCCTGGAGGGGAGACTCGGGCCTTCGGAGAAAGCGTTTGCTTTCCTGGTAAGAGGGGAAGACGCAGCAGACCTCACGCCCCCTTCTTCCCGCCTCCAGTGCCAGGGGCCGCGGGGGCAAGCGTCACGGTGAAAGCTCCGCGTGCCCAGGAGTCCAGGGCTATCGACCTCAGACTTCCCGTCCCGGGGACACCACACGCCCGACGGTTACTTTGCAGCCGAACGCAGTCCTGGCGGGCACTGGCCATAATGGGGCGCGCGCGGCTTCGGGAGAAGTTGTGTAGAAGCAGCTGTGGTCAGGGTCCCCAGCCCGAGGGTCTGCTCTCCGGAAGCCCCCGCCCAGCTTCCTGTCAGCCAGCTGGAGCCCCCCTGCCCCCAGCCCCCAGCCAGGCCCCCTGGACGGCCTTCGTGACCTCGCTCAGGACCACCCTCTGGGCGTGTCCACCGGCCGCACCCACAGCGGCCCCTCTGGCCCGGCCAACGTCCCAGCTCCCGGCCGGCGGGGGTGCCCAGGCCCTCGGGGCCGCCGGACAGGGGCACGGACACGTCCCCTCACCTTGGAGGAGCAGCTGGCCATCCTCACACTCTCCCCAACTGGACACTTTGCTCCCTCGGACACAGACGCCCCGTGCTGTCTTGAGCCCGCCTCTGAGGAGGCAGCGGTGGGGGCCCCGGTGCGACTCTCTTCCCCGAACCCGTGGCCCCCCACTGTCCCCGACAGGCCCCTGGGGGCCAGGCCCTTCTCGGCCAGACGGGGAGCAGTGGACACCAAGGTGGAAGGTCCAGATGGAGCCCTAACTGCCGCCAACCTGGACGCAACTTTGGACACATGACTCGGCCCCTCGGAGCCCGTGTCCTCGACGGACAAGTGAGGATAACACCGGCCCAGCCCACGTGGCTGCCGCGGGGACCCAGGTACAGATCCCGGGGCAGCACCGGGGACGGGAGGTGGGCGGCCAGTAAGGCTCACTCACCCACCTGCCCCCTCCCAGAGCCAGCGCCCCTGCCCGTGGAAGGCACGCGGGGCAGGGCCCAGAATGATCCCCTCCCGGGAGCGTGGTCCCCGAGGGCGTTGCCCTGAGTCCTGAACGGTGTCCTGCCCTGAAAAATGCCGTCAAGGATCCTGACGTGCTTCTGCTTCCAGAGTGGCCAAGGAGGCTGGCGGGCAGGGGTCCCCGCGCCGCCCTGCCGTCCTCGCCCCCGGCGGCACCAGATGCTGTCAGCCCAGGGACCGCCGAGCACTGCTTATCCTCAGCTCTGTGGCCACCAGTCAGCGGCGGGGAGCTGAAACTCCGGCAGGGAGACCCTGTGGGGACCCGCTCTTGGCCGTCAGCAGCTGTGTCCACGCCGGGCCTGCGGGTGCAGGAGCACCTGGATCCCCACCGGTGGCCCCAAAGGGGCCACGGCCGCCCGTACGTGGAGTGTGGCCACGGCCACGTGGGGTATCAGGAAAAGCACCCCCAAGGCTGGGCTCACCGCCTGCAGGATCAGGGGTGCAGGGGGCCCCGGTCCGGGGGTCCGAGCATATGTGGGCCCGGACAACAGAAGGGGTGCGTGGGAGGGCTGCGCAAGGGTCCGCGTCGTCCGCTGACACGGGGCGAGGCCAGGAGGGGAGATTAGCCAGCGGTGTGCGGTGGCTAATGTCAGCCGAAGTGCTCACCCTCGGGTGGCCGCAACACGGTCCCCACGGGTCCCAGAGGCTCCGACCCCAGCGGCCGTCCCCGGGCCGGGTGGCCCCTGCCGAGTGACAGGAAGGAGCGGAGGAGCCCAGGAGACGCCGGAAGAGGGACGGGCTCTGGAGGCTGTTTTCTCGCTTCCCAAGATGCGATCAGAGTCCCCCTTAGATGACGCCAGACCCCAGCCTGGGGCCGGCTGGCGGCCGAGCTGGGACAGGAGCCTGTGTCCTGATCCCTGTCCCAGGAGTGACAGCAGGCCCCCGGGAGGGTCCCCCCTCTCCCGCCCTGCAGAGCCCTCCCCCCCCCCCAGCTCTGCATGGAGCCCCCAGGCTGGGTCTCCGTGGGGGTGTGGGCATCACTGGATCGCTTTGGGGAGCGAACCCCAAACTTGTGCCGGGAGGTGTGCTGGGAGGTTCGTGTCCTCAGGAGGGTGGGGGCGGTGTGCCGGGTCGCGAGGCTCTCCCTAGGTCTCCGCGTGTGTCAGGTTAGCCCAGTCAGGGAAATGGTCCAAGTCAAAGATGACCCGTCCCCACGTGTTGACAGCCAGAAATACACAGAAGACTCCGATTATGTTCATCATGAGTCCTGTTTTCACCTGGAAAAAGACGGGTCAGAGTCAGCACCCCCGGGTGGGCCGGGCCGTCAGAACAGCCGTGACCGGCTGGTCTGCTGGGCTCCCGTCCCTGGGCCGTGCTCTGTGCTCTGTGCTCAGCCGGCCCCCAGGCAGAGCAAGGCAGGTCGGCAGGTATCCTCGGTGCTCAGAGCCTCCGGGAAACCTCCACACCCAGGCCAGCATTTGGAAACAGCCTCGGGGAGGCGGCCTGAGGCCCAGCGGAGGCTCTGTGACCACGAGGGCCTTCCTTTCTGGCCTCCCCCTCCCATCCCAGGTGATGGAGCCAAAGCAGAAAGGAGGGGGTCGTCCTCTGTCTGCGTTTGCGTCCAGGACATACATCCCCCGCTCCCAGGCGGTGGCCTCTCTCGCCCCCTCCCTGCTTCTCCTGACTGTCCTCGCGGGCTCCCGCTGGTCTTGGAAGCCCGTCACGGCCTCGCGGGACCCCCGCCCTCACCCTTTCCGAGGGCTCAGTGAGGGCTCCCCAGGTGAGAGCTTCCACGCCTCACCTCCCACCTCTGGGGGCAGAGCGGTCCCCGGAACGTGAGAACGTCTCAGAAAAGAAGCAAAGGAGCACATGCATGCAAACGCACAGGTCGTGGCTGTCACCGGTCGGTACCCCTGACGCCAGCCGGGAGTCGTGCGTTACCATGTCAGAAACCTTGAGGTGTCCGTAAGCAAACACGATGGCATTGGGCGGGGTGGCCACGGGCAGCATGAAGGCAAAGGACGCGCTCAGGGTGCAGGGCAGCATGACGTACAGCGGGTTGAGGCCGATGGAACGTGACTGGGGAGAAACACGGCGCCACGGGTCACACACGCAGGCGCCGAAGGCTCCAGGGACCGTCTCTCTGAAACGCGTCCCCCTAATGCGCCCTGTGCCTCTGTCCCGCCGGCCCCTCTTCCTGTCGGCACGGGTCTCGATAAGAACCTTGCTGGGCCCTGAAGGCTGAACCCGCAGCCACCTCCCGGGGAGGCCTTCCCGAAGGCCCCCTCGGTCCATTCAACACCTACTTCCTGGGCACCAGCTACGTGCCACAGACCATGCCGGGTGCTCAGGCCGCACCGAATCTCGCGGCGTCCCCGCGGCCCACGTGTGCACATGGCTGTCCGTCCTGCCACGGACCTAGAGGGCCCGCGTCTCCTCACCTACGCACACACGTGCTCTTACACATGTCTGGGATCGTTTTGCATACGGAATTCGATACCTCTTTTTACTCTACAGCTTAAAATTCAGCCACATCAGACAGCGCCCCGCACCGAGTGGATGTTCGTTAACTGTTTGCTGAATGGACGAATGCTACAGCTCACAATATTTGTTCGTGTCTATCGAAACTAGCGATGATCCCTCGTGCAGATTTATGTGCACATGACGACAGACGCCTGTGCAACATTAAATCAGCAAAGCACTCAGGAGACAGACTCATCCCTAAGCCGGTGGCCGCAGAAGCAGGCTGCTTAAATGAAAACATACCTACAAACAAGGGGACAGCTTGGGGCTGTGAAGAATGACAGCACAGGAAAACAAAATTCAGGTGCAGAGCAGGACCACAGAATGAGGCCATTGGTTTAAAAAGAGTGTGTGTGTGTGTGTGTGTGTGTGTGTGATACATCCAGAAAGATACCTAAGAAATGAATAACAGAGGGGCCCCTGGGCTCAGTCGGTTGGGCGTCTGACTTTGGCTCAGATCATGATCTCATGGTTCATGAGTTCGAGCCCCAAGTCGGGTTCTATGCTGACAGCTCGGGGCCTGGAGTCTGCTTCGGATTCTGGGTCTCCCTCTCTCTCTGCTCCTCCCCCGGTCGTGCTCTGTCTCTCTCAAAAATCAATAAACATTTAAAAAAATTTTTAAAAAGACGTTAATAACAGAAATGGAAGCTGGGGGTCAGAATGCAAGCGTTGCATTTGTTAGCCACGTGTAAGTATCATGTTTTCAACTCTAAATACCCTTCAAAGCTGTGATCCCCATATACTTGATAGAGTAGCCATTCCATATATAGATATATTTAATCTCCCCAATCCTCTACTGTTATGAAAATATTTTTGTAACAAGTAACTCTGTGATGGGTTGTTCTGGAATGAGCACCTCAAAAGAATCTTGAGATACATTCCCAGACATGAAATTGCTGGGGTGGACCTCAGGTTAGGGTTCCTGTGTGAGTAGAAAGGTCTCAGGAAGGCCGCGCCCAGGCACTGCGCCCTCTGGGAGGGGCTAGAGAGAGGCCAGGCAGGGCCCCCGTCTGTCCTGACCCCCCTTTCGTCTGGCCCCTTGGATGTGCATGGTGTATGCACCCCGTGCCTCATGACCCAGCTTGGGGTGCATAGCCTGCCCCTCTCCTGGGGTGGGTGCTGAGGCGGGCTCGGAGACTGGAGGTACCCGTGGAGAGCTACCAACTACAAGGAAGCCTGTTTTTCAAGGGCCTGACCACACCCCCAGGTGAAGACCTCCATTTGTCTGGCTCTGGGCTGGAGGCCCTTTCGGGGGCCAGGGGGGAGGCGCTCTGGCAGCTGGCCAACAGCCTGCTTAGAGACCGAGGTTCCAACACTTTCATCCCTGCCTGGGCAGGAAGGACAGACAAAACCACTGGGTTCTACTTCCATACCTTGAGGGCCTTGGGGAGGCACAGAGTGGAAATCTACTGACTTGAATCCTGAGCTCTTGGCTCCAGACTCCTGACTCAGGGTGACAACCCGCAGTCTCAGGCTCAGGCTGTCACCCACAGAAAGATTTGACCCCCCCTCTTACTTGGCCCTAACCACAGCTTGGACCCAGGTCCTCCGACCGCCAGCCCAACCTCCTGCTGCACCACCCTGAGGTCGGGACCTTACCGCTGATAAATGCGTTGGAAAAAGCGTGAGAGATCACAACTACTCTCCGTGCCCTGCCTCCTCCTGAGTTCGGCTCGCGTATGCTTGCCCACAGCACAGACCTCAGCCTGGCACACGCCCCGCCCCGCCCCTGACGTCCTCTCCTCCCACCTCCCCAAGACCCAGTCCCCAGGCTCTCTTCCTGGCGGCCCCGCCCATCCGCCCTGATACCACACCCGGGCTACATGCTCCAGACCCTCCAACACCCCCCTTTGGCCCGCAAAATCCTGTCTCCTCAGCGAAATAACCAGTATTTATAAATGGATTTTGAGGGCCTGGTTCTTGCTGTGCACTTTGAGACATGAGGACCAGGGGACAGAGACCTTGGTCATCAGAGGCTCAGGAGCCCAAGGCCATAAGCGTGTTTGGGCTCCGTGCCTTCAGGGACCCAGGACACGGTCCCCAGCAGCGTGCCATGGCTGGTCCCCTTCCTGGTGGGTCACTCATGGGCGAATGGGCAGGGGTAAGTCGTGTTGGCCCACATTGCTCGTGCACTTTTCGGTGAACGGCAACAGCAGCAGAGAGACAGGATCAGGTATTGTGGCGCGCCGAGGGGCACAGAGTAGGTGAGTTCCATCTGCTCCCCCATCCATTCCGACAGCCCCGAGGCCTTGAAAGCAGAGGCGGGGGGGGGGGGGAGCAGTGCCAGGCTGCAGGCCCGGGAGCTCAGCCCCTCCTGCAAGTCTGACTCTCTCTCTGCATAAGAGCCACGGGTGGGCTCCACGAGGCCACACCCTCAATCCCCACCCTCACCCTGCTGTCTCCTAAATCCATTTCCAGCCCAGCTGGTCTATAACTGAATTTTGGCCCAGTGACACTCAACATGCCTCTACCTGAATTCACTCTCTCTGGCCCAGAGTCTGCTCCCCGGGGCTCCCATACACCTGCCGCCCACCCTGGGAAGCTGGACACCGCCCTGGGGTCCCTGTCCCCTTCTTCCTTATGCCCACTCAGCCACCCAGTCACCCAGAGCTCCTCATCACCATCTCCTCTCAGCCCCCGGTAGCTCTCCACGCTCAGGAGAGGGATCCGAGGCAGACACTGGGGATTTAGAGCAGGAGCGAGTCTCAGGAGAGAACAGCTCACGGGCCTCACGCTCTGAGACTGGGTTGGACGACCGACTGTATGGGGCGCCTGCTGGATCTCCCTCAACGCCTCTCTGCTAGGTCTACTCGACCTCAGGGTGTTTTCCCAAGTGCAGATCTGACTGATTCGCCGTGGCCACCACCCTTCAGTGGTCACCCACTGTCTTCACAGTAAGTTCACTCTCTCTGTTATAACCCCCGGCGGAGTGGCTGCACCAGCCTCCTCTTCTGCTGCTCCTGCACTAGAAACGGCACACTTCCCCCTTCACTCAAGTGTCACTTCTCCCTGACATGCTTTTCCAGATACGTCCCCCTCGCCAGGCTGCAAAGGCCTCAAAAGCAGGGACATATATCAATCTCCTCTGTAATGCTCAGACTGATTTAACAGGGACATAAAGGGAATGTTTGATGAATGAATGAATGAATGAATGAAGGAATGAATGAATGGGAGATAACAGATGGATGGATGAGGTGACCAGATGAATGCATTTGTTCATCCAAAAGATATTTATGTCCTTGCTATGCACTGGGCTCTATTCTAGATGCTGAGGGAACAGCAGAAATAAGATAGACCAAATTTGTCCATGACATTCTATTCCTGGATGGATGGATGGATGGATGGACAGATGGACAGATGGATAAATGGATGGATGGATGGATGGACAGATAGTTGGATGGATGGGAGGAAAAATAGATGGGTGGATGGATGAATGGATGGATGGGTGGATGGATGATGGGTGGATGGACAGATGGACAGAAAGAAGGATGGATGGATGCACGGATGGATGGCAGATGGACAGATGGATGAATGGATGGATAGATGGATGGACAGACAGACAGACAGTTGGAGGGAGGGAGGGATGCAGGGATGGAGGGATGGAAAAATAGATGGATGGATGGATGGATGGATGGATGGATAGATGGACAGACAGCCAGTTGGAGGGATGGAAGGAAGGAAGGAAGGGAGGAAGGAAGGAAGGAAGGAAGGAAGGAAGGAAGGAAGGAAGGAAAAACGGACGGATGGATGGACGGACAGGTGGATGGATGGACGGACAGTTGGATGGGTGGATGGATATCAGCATGAAGCTGGCTCATCTCTCCCTCAACCTTACTTCTTCCCTACTGGGGAGGAATAGAAATAAGAAAGTTTCATTTGTGTGTGTTTTCTCCTAAACGCCAGTCCTCTCCTTCTGTGCTGCTACATACCTATGTAGAGAAAAATGCTTAAATGTCAACTGTATCAACAAGGAACTCATCAAGTAAAAGACCCAGGTGTAGCGGTGGAAGTGGTCACAGGGACTCGAAAGAAAGACCTCCCAGAACAAATCAAAGCAGAGATCATTATCGCCAACCCCCGGGGCAGCCCTCACAGCGTCCCCGGCCTCTCTTGGTTGACTTATTCTCTTGGTCACTTATTCACTCGTTTCTGCAATTTTTCAAAGAGCACTTTCTCTCTTCCAGGCACTGCCCGTGTTGCAGGGCCTCTCGGTGACGAGACAGAGTCCCCTGTCCTCAAGACGCATGCAGTTCTGCGGAGCAGACACAGAGCCACAGAGCACAGAGCAGGGGTGTGGGCAGAGGGACACCTCAGGTCTCTGACGCCGTCTTGTGCAAGAGGGGCCCTGGCGGCCGGCAGCCGGGGGCGTTACCTCACATCCTTTGGCCAGTGCGAAGCCGCCCCCCAGCAGCAGCACGATGCCCCAGGGCACTTTCTCCTGGGTCACCTTCCAGGTCAGCAGCGCAGGGGGATAAAATGGAGCTTTCCTTTCTGGGAAGAAACAATAAAAGACACACATACACAAGCCAGAGCAGCAGCGGGAAGCAAAAGAGGTCGATTCCAGGGGAATCAAAGCCTGTGTGGACCAGGGACGCCCTCCCAGAGCGAGGTTTCACATCAGCTGAAACTCACAATGAACGCCACACCCAGTGCTGGTGAAAAATGCTGGGTAACGCTGTCACCCACTCCTGGGGAGCATACGCATTGGCCCAATCTTTTTGAAAAGCCATTTGGCATATATACCCTTACAATAACACGACTCCTGGAAATTTATCCTAAAGAAGAAACACCTAGGGGCGCCTGGGTGGCTCAGTTGGTTAAGTGTCCGACTTTGGCTCAGGTCATGATCTCACAGTTCGTGGTTCAAGCCCCACGTCGGGCTCTGTGCTGACAGCCCGGAGCCTGGAGCCTGCTTCGATTCTGTGCCTCCCTCTCTCTCTGCCCTCCCCTGCTCATGCTCTGTCTCTCTCTGTCTCAAAAATAAATAAAAACATTAAAAAAATTTTAGAAAAAGAAGAAACAAACTATGCACCTGAAAACACTAATTGATAGCAACGGAAAATTCCAAATGGCCAGAACGTTCCACAAGAGAGAACAGTTCCGCCCGTCGATGCGCTACGATGCCGTAATTAGAGAAAATGGACGTGAAGCCTGTGGCATTAACAGGAAGTGATCATACCGTAAAGACACGAAAACCCAAACAACCGAGAAACGGAATCTGAGCGGCCCGTGTAACACACATGCATCCCAGCAAAGACCGGAGGAGAGAAACCGGAAAAAGCACGGATGGCCTTGCGGGAAATTGGAAACGTCTGTCGGTTCTCTTATAATATTGCCAAGGTTTCAAACGTTTGGAGGGCACAAGAGAAGAATTTGCAGAAAACAGTCCCCAGGGAAGGCCTGACGAACGCTCCCGGGGCCCTTACCCTCCTCCGTCTGGCCACGGAAGTTGAACTGGGGCCTCTGCGAAGGCACTACGAACAGCAAGGTGGCCACAAAGGTGGCCACGGTGGCGTCAGACACGTACCTAGCAGAGAGAGCACACGGACGTGCCCAGCTCAGTTTTGGGACCATCACCACTCGACGAGCCTGCTCTGCGTCTACAGGCTCAGCCGAGCGTGAGGACTGGAGCCCTAAGGGCCGTGTAGACGGAACCCTGGCTGGAAACCAGGATGTCCACATCTCTGCCCAGCTCTGCCCCCAGCTGGGTGACCCTCAGCCACTGGCTTCCCTCTCGGTCTGTGCTGCTCCGTGGACGAGCCTCATGACCTCTGCTCATCAGACTCTCTGGAATCCTGGGTTCACCAGGGTGCCCACGAGGGCTTTGGTGATAACTCAAGAGCCTTCAAATGCCACAGGTGGCCACAGGCAGCTGTCCGCCCGCCCGCATGGCCTGCCTTGTCTGGGACACGGGTGTTTCTCAACCTTGCTTCCTTCTGGCCACAGAACAGCTCAACCTGGAGGGAGGCAGCACACATCCTCCGGGCCAAAGAGGCCCTGGACCCCGGACTCCGTCTGCTTTCAGAGGGAGGAGAGACAGCAGAACGGAAGTTTGCAAGCTAGAGCTCCGGGCCCAGCAAGTCTCTCTCCGTCACATCCCGGCCACCTTGCCTGGCCAGCGGGAACTGTCTGCGGGCCTGTCGCGAGGACTGGGGAGAAGAGAACCGGCCGGGAACCGAGGCAGCGCTGCAGAAGTCACGCGCGGGGCCGGGGAACCCGTAACTTACTTTGTCTCGCCCTCCTCCCAGGCCAGCGACACCCAGCCGGGCATGAAGCCGGGGTCCCGGGAGAACCACAGGCCGACCAGCAGGAGGAAGCAGAGCAGGACGTTGGCCTCGGCGAAGGAGAACGGCCCCAGCTTCCTGTACTCCCGCCGCAGCAGCTCACACACGGCCTTCTCGTGGTGCCTGCTCTCCAGCCCGCGGCCCCAGGACGCCTTAAAACTGGAGGTGCAGAGGCAGAAGGCGGCGAGGCCGGCCGGACAGTCAGACGGCGCTGCCTGTCCCCCACGGCGGCCCTCACCTGCCGGCCCTCCCCCGCAGGGCGCGGGGCGGGAAAGTCTCTGTTAGGTGTGCCCAGCGCGTGGGCCAGGGCGCCCCCAGAGCCGGAGGGGGCTCCCCGGGAGCCTGTGGCCACGGCCACCGCAGTGCGCCCTGCAGGACCTCACCCGGAGGTGCTGGCATGAGGGACGAGGAGGAGGAGGGATCCCTGGGCAGCTGTAAGGGTACCTCAGCCGTGGGAAGGGCCGGCCAGGGCCACAGGGCCCCGGACACGGGCCCACGGGATTCTCCGGGCATTCCAGCCCCCGTCAGCCTGAAGGCACTGGGCGAGGCCAACAGGACTGTCCCCGGAGGGCCCTCCCTGGCGGGAGCGCCTCCTGACCCCTGGGGCACACTTCCCGGGAGGGCGGGAGTGCACGGAATCGGCACCAAGGGCCAGTCTGTGAGCGGTTCTCGTGAGGCCGGCTCCCGGGATAAGGGGCCACTCGGTGCTCTCAGCTGCCTGACTCGTGTCCGGTGCCACACGTCCGGCACCGACTCCACGGCGGCTGCAGATGGGACTGCCTCGGGCAGGTGGGCGTCCGTGCCGGCCCCAGCCGTTGCCACCACGCCTCCCAGACGCCCCCTCCCTGACATGAAGCGGTTCACTCCCGGCTCAGGGCTAATCTGGCGGCTGCCGGGCTGGCACCCGATGCCGGCGGGTGGGTCGGGCTGCCCGCGGGAGACCCGGGCCGGGGGGTGCAGGGTCCTGTAGGATGGCCGCCACAGAGCCCCTGACCCAGTGCTGCAGAGCCAGGGCGGGGAGGCCCTCGGACCCCCAAGGGCGTCTCCGGGGAAGGTGCGCAGAGGAACCCCCATCCCTGGCCCCGGGGATAGGAAAGCCGGGTACGAGCCGGCTGTGATGTCCCGTTAGTGCTGGGGGCCTGTGGACCCCAGGGCTGGACGTGAACTCGTGAACTCGGAAGGCGGCTTCCCGGACGAGCTTCCTAGAGGAGGCTGGAGGCAGCCTCCCTGAGGTCGTGCCCCACGACCTGAGGTTGATCCCCACGACCATCCAGATGCGGGACCCGGATGAGGGCACCGCAAGAGGCAGGTGCTACCCCTGATCCGGTGAGGGCATCTAGGAAGCCTGGGGCAGGGGCCCCCGGGGCCCGAAACACTCCAGGCACGGCCTGCTGCTCCCACCATCGGGGCTGAGTGGGAAAAGCTGTCCCGGCGAGGCTCCGGGGAGCTGCCCACCCACCAGGCTCCGCGTCGGGTTAGCAAGGACCACGGGGCTGGAGCCGCGGGCTGGCAGTGTGGGCACGGCAGCCCAGAACGCAGAAACAGGCGGCCGCCCTCCTCAGAAGGGCGGCAGAAGCCTCGCCAGGCTGGGGGGCCACAGCTGGGGTTCCTGACATGGCATCCCCTGACGCTGGCAGTGCCCCTGTGGCCTCGGGGCCAGCCCAGCGCCCCCTGCTCTCTCTGCCAGGAGCTCAGCGGGCCTCGGGGCCCCGGGCAGCCCCCCAGCTCAGGCTGGCGCCCCTGACGCCTGGCTGTACCAGGCCTCGTGGCAGTCAAGGGCAGTAACCCTCGGCCTCCCCAAGAGGGGCTCTTATGGACTCCGCTGTGTCCCCCACGTTCGCATGTTGAAGCCCTAACCCCCGGCCAGACGGGCTTGCCTGAGCCTCGTACGGACGCACCGGACCCGCTCACCTGAACCTCATATAGACGCACTGGAGCCACAGCCAGGCCAGCAACAGCATCACCAGCATGTTGGGAAAGGCAAAGCCAAACCAGGAGGCGAAGTTCACCAGGTCTTTGCTGTCTGGAAACAACCTGAAGGGAGAGACACAGAGCTGTGCACGGTGGCCCCGGGGTGGACGCTGAGACCGGGCCTCGCCACACACAGAACAAGACCGGGGGGTGGCTGACCGCCCTGCCTGAGCATCCGGGCCCCCCTGGGGACCTCGCAAAAGTCAGGGCCTCGCCTACACACAGGAGCCGGCCAACAGCTTCAGGGCTCCACGGATGAGGTGGGGGAGCGGGGGGGCCCTGGGAAAGCCACCCTCCCGATCCTCCTGGGGCTGGCGGAGGGTCACTTCTGCGGCGGCCGGCCCTCTGCCCCCAGGCACCGGCTCCCTTAGACACAGCCTTCCCCACTCAGCTGCCTTTCCCAGAGGAACGCCGGGGAGAACGGTAAGGCCATCATTATAGAAGGTCCTCGAAGATCAAAACAGTCTGCGTGTTGGGCCTCAAGTGTCTTCGGGCTAGGCTCCTTCCCGCCTCCCAGCTGTCCTGCCTGCTGGCCTGGTCCAGCGGGTAGCTGCCCGTCAGGGCCCCTCACTCGGTGATCCCAGCCCCACCCGCACCAGCCGGGCCCAGGATGAGATTCCTCAAGGCCTGTGTCCCTTTGTGGCCAGGGCGGGAACGTGCCCACCAGCCCTGTGGTTTTTCTGCAGCCCCTTCAAGGGCGCTTAGAGGCAACAAGTAACCCGACCTGTGACCCTCCCGTAGGGCACCACCGTTAACAGCCGGGGTTGTTAACAAATCGAGCCCGCTGCGAGGGGGCTTCTGTGTCTGTTTTCTGCAAGTTTGACGGGGACCCGGCCTCTCGCACCACACTGTCGTTTCCCTCGACTTCAGCTCCGTATTCAGGGTGCATTCCCGTCGGAGCGAGAGCCTGGGGAGGAGGGCAGGACTCGCCCCAGAGCAGAAGCCAGCCTGTGGGGTCTCGAGCAGGTGCAGGGCTGTCCGGCCCCGGCCCCAGCTGAGAAGGAAGGAGAGCTGGGGGCCCCCCGGCCCCGGGCCCTCCTTATGTCCCCAGAAGGCAGGCCCGTGACTCACTCGCGCATCTGGCCCAGGAGCACCACGTTGGGCCCCGTCCCTGTCAGTGTGGCGGTCCCTCCGATGCTGGCCGCGTAGCACACGCACAGGGTCATGGCCTTGCGCACGCTCCTCCGGTCGCGGTCGGCCCGCAGCCCCTCGGGGGGCCCTTCGAAGGTCACTTGGCTCCCTGTGGGGGGCACGCGGCAGGCTGAGCTCCAGCGCCCGACCTTGCCCCGGGCCCCTGCGGCCAGCCTCCACCTCCTTCCAGGAGCTCAGCTCCACACAAATCCGGCAGCTTCACACATGCCCTTCTCTCCTGGTGCCCTGTCCCTGCTCAGGCTGTTCCCTCCGCTGGGGGACAGGGACAGCCCTCCGAATCCACCTCAGGGCCCTCTCTCCCCGCAAGGCCCGTCCCTCTCCAGCGCTCCCTCGGCGTCCGGCCGACCGCCGAGGCATCCCTGGGTCAGATGAGCCTCGCCGGGGGCCTCCCTACCCGGCCTGCCGGGCTCTGCCGTCCCCGGGGAGCGTGTCTGTGCACCTCTGTAGCCGGAACCCGGCCCGGGGCCCGGCGACAAGGCCATCGCCCCCCCACCCCGGGGACGTGCGGTGAACGCGGCAGAGAATGAATGAGACGGGTGCTCTCTGGCCCGCCCCGGGGCCTCCCCCCGCCCCCCGATGCCTGTGGGAGCAGAGGCCCCCCGGGCAGGGGCAGGTGCGGGCAGGGGTGAGGGGCACCCGGGCCGGGGCTCACCTGGCAGCTGGCTGGCCCTGCCCTTGTCTGCCAGCTCCAGGGCCCCCAGGCCGGCCTCGGCGGAGCCGGCGGTCTCCATCTGCTGTAACATGGCCTCCACGATGGGCACCATCATGGCCGTGGTGGCCGTGTTGCTGATCCACATGGAGAGAAAGGCCGTGACGCCCATGAAGCCCAGCATCAGCCTGTTGGGGGGGGGGTGGCAGGGAGGGAGGTTCCCAGCATCAGCCTGCAGAGGCGGGGAGGGGAGGGAGGCCACAGGTTCCCCCGGCCCCCCCCCCTCGGGAGCCAGCGGGGGATGGGACGGCCCTGCAGGGGTGGCAGGGGCCGGGGCCAAGGCGTGGAAGCCGGTGTGAGACCGGATGGTGTCGGAGGGGGTCACAGCTATAGTGCCTCCCCCCACAACCCTCCCCACAAACATTCTGACACCCCTGTGCTGGCTACGGGGTCACCGAGAGCCTCAGACCCAGTCACATCTGTAAGGGGCTTCCATCCAGCAAGTGAGCGCCAACATCCAGGTGGAGCCGGCCCAGTGGGGAGAGCCAGCCCCAGAGTGACCAGGCTGGGCAGCCAGCCCTCAGGGGTGGGAGCCTGCCCCCCGCTCCATCCACGCCCTCTGCCCCCTCCACTCGGCAGTAGACCAGGACCACAGACTGTTCTGGAAACATGTCCCTTTACTGGTAACACCCCACCTTCCCCAGCATCTAGACTGGCTCCTCGTGGAGAACCTGTCGGACCGCAGCCTTCTCCTCGGCCTCCCTCCCAGCTCCCGCCACCAGGGCCCAGCACATCCCCTCCCCCACCCCCCAGCCTCCCTGGGACATTCGTCTCTGGCCGGATCTGGAGGAACATTCCCACATCTGCTCCCCCTTTGGCTGTGAGCAGGGAGGGTCTGATTCTTCCCCGAGGCTCCAGGGCCGGGACTGGAAGGCTGGGGGGGAGGGGAGGTTGGCTGAATGGGACTCCGCTGCTGGTGGTCTCCGTGCTCCTGTGGGCCAGACCCCTCCCCGAGGTCACCAACCGGCCCAAGGAAGGATCCAGGGAGGTTCAACAGGTGTCCACGCAGGTGGGCCCCATGGACCCAGAAGAGCAGAGGCCAGGAGGAGGCCACGTCTGCATGAGTCAAGACCCCACGGAGGCTCAACAAAAAGCCCCCCCAGGACGGGCAGTGCCGTGGACGGCCGGAGCCCGAGCTCCCAGGAGGAGTGGAGACCAGTGTGTGGCCGTCCCGGGTCTGGAAGGCAAATCTGTGCGGCTCACTCCAGAACGAGGTCCACCTGCTTGTGGAGAAGCCACACCCTCCAAGGATCCCGAGAGTGAGGATTCTGAGAATTCTAGAATTCAAGCCTCTAGACTACGCGGGGGCTCTGCATTTGACCCCGTAGAAGCTCCCTGCAGAAGCTCCAGGGAGCATGACAGATCGGGGGCCGGGGTCTGGGAGCGCCCGGCACGACCCCGGCACATGGACTCCCCAGGAGGGATGTACCGGGAATTCACCAGCCGCTGCCTCCGGAGGCCGGGCTGGAGACACAGGGACACAGGCCTGCCTTCACTGAGGGAGCCCCAAGAGAAAGGTGCGGCCTGAGTCCCCAGTTAGAGGCTCAGGCCGGTCCGACCCCCATGTGGCCGTCAGCAGTCTTTAGCCTGAGGGCAAGGTGGCAGGTGCTGCGGTCAGGGTCAAGTGCTCCGCCCGCCTGGGGTCTGCAGGTGCTCTCACCACACCCAGGGGGTCCCGCTATCGTCACCTCCATGGGATGGCGGGAAGAGGCCTGTGGCGGGCAGGGGGGACCTTGCAGCCATGAGAAAGTGAGGTACTGAGTGAGGTGGGGGGAAATGACATAGTGGCTT